ATTGGATAAGGTTTATACTACCGTTAGGTCATGCTACGATAGATAGGGGAATCAAGGACCTGATTGGAATGTACAGGTTCATAGTTTGATAGGTCATATCCATGTTGGAGGGCGGGTAGGCGTACTGCTGTAAGTCCTACTCGTTCTTCCGGTGTGGATTAGGGGATGAGAATGAACCGTAAATTGAAGTGTTAGAAAGGGCTTGTTTTGCTTAGAGGGATATTGTGGGCCGGTGTAGAATTTATATTGAATGTTTGTTGTTGATTGCTTGTGATGCACATACTTGGATTGTTGTTATATATTCTTGTCGGTGAAAAGAACCAAGGTTCTTTTGGTCGGGAGTGTTACGGGAGAAACGAAGACATTTTGCTGATTAAAACCTTCATGTATAAATATAATTAATTTCACTGTTTTTTGGGTATATTTGTTTTACTTAACTTATGAACTTGTTTGAATTATTATTTGCGGACATATTGGACTCCCGTTTCTCTTTGTTGTTCGTTGCAGTTTTTTGCTCCAAGAGATAATAAATTAGAAGAACGACATTGGTCGTCTATTTGTAATAAAATATTTTGGTCGAATTTGTGATTTGGAATAAACTTTGGTATCTACTTTGGAGTTTCGTTCTTGGTATAGAAATTTGGGACCGTGAATTACAAATAGACGACAACAGTGCTTCGTAAGATCAACGAGCAAAAAACTGGACGTAACAATGCTTCCGTTACAATCCGAATTGCGCCCTTCTAGTCCAAATGCACGTTTTGCCCGCTAGGGTATCAAATCCGATATGGATGTAGCCATAATTATGTGTCGGTTTAAACAACATAATACGGTTCAGTAGGAAACATAGAAACTCCAATAAAGGTACAAAAATAGAAACTATAACAAAATACAAATATTGACATCCCAAAATGGGATTAAGCAGAGTGCCAAAATTTAGCACAGAAAGAGTCATTACTCATTGGTCATTACTCAATCGAAGCTTACGAAATCCAGCCTGTTAGCCTCGAAGTTGGGCGTATACGAAGTCCTTCATTCTGCTTAACAACACCCTGTTGGAGTCTGCCTGTTGCTGAGAGAAGAGTGCTGTTTGTGTAGTTCCCACACTTCCTGAAACCGCATTTCTTTGTTATATTGATGAGATATCCTTCATTCCAGTTTGTTGGTAACTGCTCTTCACTGCAAATCTTGTTGAAGAGAATGCGAGATGTTTTTGCAGTTGCTCCCACGTTTGCTTCATTGCATCTGCTGGGATGTTGTCTGGTCCCACTGCCTTGACGCACTTGATTTGTCTGATGGACATGCTAATCTCTTCAACTGTTGGTGATGGTGGGGGGTCGATGGATGCTGGTTCAATGTCGGGTGGGTCCAGCTGAGCTGGTCAGTACAAGAGTTTCTTAAAGCGCTCTACCCATCTGTTTCGCTGTTCTTCGGCGCTAAACTGTGGAACGAATTTATAATATTACTTCCTATTTGAGTTCTGACTGCTTTATCACTAACTAACTCCACATTGAACAATTCTTGGAATGGTGTTTTGATGACAACATTTTTTCGGACATTAGATCATGGCTAAAACGGTAATTTTTCGAGAGTTTTGTTAGCAATTGGGTAATTTTTTCAGGTAAGTTAAGAAGTTGGGGAAACTGTATATATTTCTGTAATGTTTTTAGTTGTTCATTAAATTTCGAATGGTTCCATGGAATAGCCAAGGACTGCCGTAAATGAATTATTTTTTATCTACTGAAGAAGTGTTTAACTACGACGTTAGAAAACATAAGATTAAACGCTAAACACTATTGAATATCATCTGGGTCAGGGGTAACTAGCGCACACCAGTTAGCCTCATCCCATGAATTTCCACACGCTGCTATGTTTTCATGCTCAGCGCTTCTTTAATCTTTTCCCATGACACTAGATATCTATTTGGTGGGGCCCTTATTGTTGTGTGCCTGGCAATGAATATGAAGGGACCAAGGGGATTTGGTAACCACGCGGTTATTCTTCAACATAAGTTAGTATTTACACTAAAATTAAGTACATGTGGTTTCTAGAGTAGATTTTTAAATATTACTCATTTGCTTTTCGAAACACCTAACAGACCTTTAGTTTTTCTTGACTTAACGTAGGGATTAGGTTCACGTAGTTGCTGAATATATTTTAGAGTTCGCAGTAGTGAGGAAATGCTCAACACGTGTACATAATTTTAACAGGACCCAACTTTAGTTGACTGGCTCTAATAATTTTCAACAGGCTCAAGGCCAGCTGAGGAAGAAACTTCAGATCAAAAAGTACAGCCTTCTTGAAATCTTTCCAGGTATACAGAGATTTGGGTTAACGCAAATAGCTCGTGAGCATCCTATATTCAAACTGCTGCTTTTTTGATAGTAGTTATCATATCAACTGATAGTTTTGATTCAGAAAGGTCTATCACCAACTACTCTTACATCTGATAAAATACCAAATGCGGTTTCTAAACAGTACCAGGTTTAGATTTTAATGATATGAAAGCACTATCTGACCACCTGAAGTGATTTATCAAAATTAACAGAATAGTTTGTTTTCAGACTACGCAAAATATAAAATTAAGTGTTCTGAAGATGAAGAAACCGTAGAAACGGTATTATGTAGCTAAACTGTAGGACGAGTCTAAAGGTTATAGATCATTAATATGAACGAAGTCAATTTATTAACAATTGTTTGAACAAACAGATGAAACCCACGACTCTTCACGTTCATTGGAATCACAGGCCCGATTATCCGAAACCACCTAATGGTAAAACAGACGAGCAGTGAATGAACTGTAAACATAAATACCTCGTTTGATTGCGCATCATTTGCTGAGGCGTACCTTGTTTGTGTGACGGTGACATTAAAGTGCCACACATATGTTAATCTGATGACAGTTACCAAAAACCGAGCAGTTAAAGCATCAGATTTATGAGATTTTTTAACTGTTTACAAAAAAGGTCTTATTCACAGATATTAGGTCCTAAAATAGTTATCTCTAATATAATCTAACTTACGTCACTGTGTTTAAACAATAATTAGGTGGCTTCGTTTCAGTAATATTTATGCAGTATTTGCTTGAAACTATTGCTTAGGACGGAATTCTGGACTTGTGGCTTTTCAGAATGTTTTAGAAACAATTTCTATCGTTTGAGTTCTATATGACCACTGATAAGGACACTGATATATACTACCTCAATGACTCGAAATTAAACTATTATTCAACCAAAATCGTCGTTATATAGCAAGAAAAATCTATATATTTTCCCTATCTCTGGATACTAACATGCAGTTTGTACAGTGTTTAAGTAATCCTTGAACTAACAATAATCCGACTGTCTGACTAAAGCGGGACATTTTAGTTTCTTTTGTTATCCTTCGACGGTGAGTTCTCATGGTTAACCTTAGTAGACTCCGGACATTAGCTTCTGTTCATTTAATTTAAGATTTTTAAAATCTTTAATAATTCTTTCTGTAAAGTTGGGATCCCGTTGTTACACACCATAGAAGTGAACTCACATGCAATTGATTTATAACAATACATCACTGCTAATTTGAATGAACTGAAGTTTATTTGGATTATATAAATCGAAACCTGGGCGTTATCAAATTGCACACGGATTTATGTGATCTCGTTATAGGCCTTTAATATTAAAAGTTCATTCTAACTGTTTGTATATGTTCATCATCATGTAACTTAAGCTACACAACAACCAATTATGAATGAGAAACTAAGAAGCTGCAATACCGAAAAATTGAAATCCTTATGTTGGGTTAGACTGAATGATACCTGATAGCATTGGGTCACCTAATGTAAATGGAGAGCATCTATTTACTGCCCCAGTTCTCCTAATTGTTTGTCAATGTATCCTAATATTAAGTACTAATAGCTGCAATCAATAGCTCTTGAGATTTTACTGTATGCCTTTCTCAGCAGAGTACACTTGAATTCCATTCACCACAGAGTGGTCATTACACGTACTAACGGCTTCGTGATTATTGAAACTCATCTAGTCTGACGAGGAAAACTAGGGTTTTTCAGATAGCTCATGTCAGCTGCTAAGAAGTCCATTGACTGATGTTCTCTCTATGCTCTCCCTACAAATAAGTCGTGACTGGTTCATTATCCGTAAATATGTACATTGCAATCTCACCAACTAATTTTCCTTGTTGTTTACGCCCAAGTTTGGAATCACAAATCGAATGGCTTCAATAAGCAAAATGATTGACGCAATGATTAAATTTCTATATGAAGCCATCTGAGTTTGTTATCACTTTATCCTTCATATATGAGTGTCGAAATCAGCTACCACGGTGGGAAAATCAATAATGACTAAGAAGCTATCATCTTTTGAATCCAAACTAAATAGGTTTGCACAAATCATTCATAAATATCTATCCCCCTCAGGAAATGAAGCCGCTTTTTGGACCAGTATCATATCTACCCAAAAAGTTAAGTCTTAACTAGTAGCATGAACCTTCAGCATCTCTCACTTCTCATTTGATCTGTGATCTGATTAGCATAACGTTTCACAGTACCCCTGCTTCATTATCACGTATTTCAGCCACTGGATCGCAGTAACAGTCGCTTCAAGTATTATGTAGTGCACTGTCATCACGAGTACTGCCCACATTAAGAAAAATGTCCTTCATTTTGGTAAACATTCTAGACAAGTTAATACTTGCAGCACCGTATAACAGCATAAAACAATGCATTTATCTAAGTTACTGGTTCGTTTTTGCTTATTTATCCTCTAGTGCTTTACTGGAATCTACCTCAAACTGTAAAGCTCACTTCATTCTGAAATTTTCCTATCCGTTCTCAAATGCACCTAATTGTTTCAGACCACAAGTCATCAACTTAGCTCTTGATATTAAATATCATATCTATATTTACTGATATACCTTATTCATATCCTTACCTTTATGTTTGAATAAACTGACAGGCTGCTTATATTTTATTTTAGAATTAGTGTTAACTCCTCTTCTATTTGATGCGTAAACGAGTGCATATTGATATAGTCCCAAAAACCCCAGGAGGAGAACATATAGACCCCCAACAAATTTCTGCTGATGAAATTGAGTTTGACTCAGAAATAACAATAAAATCATCGTTGCTGCGTGAATGTAAGCCAGGCAATATTTGGTTTGAGGAAGGTGATCCAGATGATGATGATTACAAGTAAGAAGTATATTATCCTCCTAAGTCTTGTCAGGCCAAAATTCATTGCTCGTAAGTCTATGGACCTTCGTAAAATACGTTCGGAGAAGGATAGGTTCCAAGCCATCTGCTCTAGCCCTATGGTGGATTCTCGACCTCGAAGACTAAGTTACTCCAAATCTTTTAGTGAAGGTGTGTTGGGTCCTAGTGATTCTAAAACTCCATTGCGTTTGCCTAAATATGATGATCTTGTCTCGTCAGCATCCCGTCGCCTATCTCGTATAATAATCAACCGTCGGTTTTCTTTGTTGGAACCAAACCAAAATAACCCATCTGTTGGAGGTTCGCAGTTCAAAAACCTAACCCCTATCACCAGGCACCAAAAACAAAGTGTCAACAAAGAAAATCCAACAACTTCAGAAGAGTAAGTCCATAGAATCTTTTGTATGCGCTTATTTTATTGAGTTTACTGACTTATCTCCGCAGTCATTTACCAGGTATTATCCGGTTGGTATAATTGTACGATCCACACTGTGTTTGAGGATTCAGTATCCAGCGAGGGATATACAAAACACCTACAAAATGTGTGTCACTTCTAGATAATGCACTTCAAATTGGTGTAATAAATGAAAATTAGAAATGTTTTTGACAAAATCTTGAGTCTTTTTAGCATCTTGAATAGCATTGCTAGAATAGTCCAGCGCATTTCTTTCCCTCCAGATTCAAAACATTGCTTAAGACATAAGTCTTGAGACTTATGGAATAATCGTTATCAGTGGTTGGAGGCGTTGGATAACATGATTAGGAATCAGTCGCAGTGATGCAGTTTTATTCGTTCTCTCTCTTTAAATCTTGACTTTAGTGTTACTCCATACGTTACATTCTGTAATTTTATTTGTTCCTCGTAAAAGGTATTTTATGTTCGCCTCCCGTTATTGTCACTTTAATGCTCCTCGTAATGTTAAATTCCTCATTGTATCGATGTAAGTTGTGGCAACTTGTACTGAGCGATATGTTTTTTTACGACTAATCGACTCAAGAAAAGGACTCTAACAAGTTACTTAAACATAGAAATAAACCAAAATGCTTATAACTCAAGTTATTCCAACTTTTTAAAAAAAGTAAGCAAACGTATCAATTTTAATTCACTTCTAAACGTCGGTTTCTGATATTAACTGAATACCTGACCCCAAATCTCCGATTCTCATACACATTTCAAATTAATGGTCAGCGATTTCATGAACCAGAGTCATGTATCGGTCTGGTTATTCTTTAATTTTCCTTGACATAAATGTAATCTAAAATTGGAAGTAATGTAGAAATAATACTAGGTCACATAATATTGGTAAATTTTGAAGCAATAATTACTGGTTTATCAGTAGATATTTTCTGTCATGAAAACAAATTCGAATCTGCCATATTAAGATTTTCTGTAAGTATTTTATATGAACACAAAATTACTGCTCTTAGAATATTTATCCAAATTTTAATTACATTTTGATTGATTCATCTTTAGCCTCAGAAGTTAGTGAGATCTTCGTACTAAATCGGTCGATTTAAGGAAACTAGTACTTGTTTGTCCTGCATATAAACATCAATAAACTATCAACTAAATACTTATTCCCGATAAAATCCAGTTAGACAGTAGCTCCATTTAGAAGCAGCCTTAAAATAGCGAATAAGGTTACTTGCAGTTTCAAAAGTCTTTCTATCCGTAAAAGTCCTCTAAAAAAAACTGGCTGTCAGTCAATAAGTCGTAAACAGCACTTAAGCTTCAGATGTTTATAAACTCTCTAACCAATAAGTAGTCAAGATATGCTTTCTTCTAAGTAACCAGTTGTCTACAGAGAGGAAATCTGATTATTGACTGAAAAAAGTTGACGAAGTTGAATTATTCTATGCATTCCTCTGTCCCATACTTATACGTTAAGTAGGTTAGATAGAAACTAATAGGACCACAATCTTTAGTCTGCTTGTCAAGTTAATCTGTTTCCAGAACTAGCATTTGTCTAGTTAAAGAAGGCTTAATCATGGTTTGCTATCTACACTTCGAATGTTTGTCGCATACCTTTGTACCTAATGGTTTTCTTTTCACTTTAGGACTAACAACGAGAATCTGCCTTGCAAAATGTATTTAGTATAGAGTAAAGGTGTGCATTTGGGAACCAATAAATGTCTTTTAAATGTCAAACCAGCAATATTGTACAAAGATTTAAGTAAGCATGTAAGTATACGAGTTCCTCTTCTCATTGGTTTACCATAAGTAATGGAATTTCCCCAACCGCCTAATTATACTCTAGGTATTTCTTGTAAGAAAGTTGGAGCGATAAGTATTTTACACAGTTGAATATATATAATGATTTAATGTTTTGTTAATTGTTTTTTTACCTAGTAAGGAAAATATTGAACTACCAAACCACGATATCGTAACAGCTACTCCTGTATCAAAAGTAGTATGTGATGTTGTTCCAAACACTTCCATTCATGACCCGTGTTCTATCTCCGAATTTCGTGTGCTTGCGGATATGGAAACTGCGCGACTACTTGCATTATGCGGAGATTGGGATTGTGTAGTATCTGAGGAATGTGACAGTATCCCAGAAAAAGGTAGGCATTCAATTTTGATAAAAGTGTATTTTTTGTTAATAAGTATCTAAAATATCATCTTAAGAAGTACACTGCCCACTTAATTAACGCACTTGACTTTCCATCAGTAGATTTCGAATTTTAACCCCTCTTGTTCGTATATGAATGCCGAGCAATAGTTAGCTTTCACACAAACCATGTGGCTGAAAACCGATTACATAGATCTATACTTGGTAAGTTACATCGGGAAAGACACACTATACCCTACTAATCTCAGGTGAATTACGTCCGTAATTTTAAGTCTTTACCACTGTAGAAGAAAATCGACGGTGAGGTGAGGTATGCCAATTTTAGGGCCAACCTTTTGTAACCACTTCTTTCCTATGTAGGAAGGCAGTATCTCTATAGATACTGGTTTTCTGAAAAAGACACCCTACTAAAAACACACTCCCATAGATTGGTTAGTATTACTTTACCCTTAGACTCGAGTTTGCTACTTTTAATCTCACTGCTCTCCAGACAAGCTGTTTGAAACAGATTTCCAGCCGATATAGCTCGGTTAAGTGATTACATCTAAGCCCGACCACCATATCACGGTAGCAGCTACAATGTGGTAAGTAATAGGTAAATAGGTTTATTTAACAACTTCGTATTATGATATTATCGCTTTAATATTCCACTAGTCATAACTGAGTCAACATACCACTCGAAGTAATGATGGAAAAACAGAAAGCAATAGTGTCATTTTCGCTTCCTATATTTTGAGTTTTTAGGGCTTTTTCTCACTGAATATTGTTATAAAATGGATTAGGCTGAATTTTTTAAGAAAAGCACTGCTCAAATAAATACGTTTTTAACTTAAACATTATTATATTGCTTAAATGTGATGCCTTCTGTTTTCATTGCTTTACCTATCTTTTCACAACCATAGCACTTGACTCTATCAGGGCAACTGTGGGGAAATGTCGATTATTGTTACAGAATAAGTTGTCATTTTTCAAAAGCCTTATTACAATGGCAGAGAAAAGCCTTGAAAAGTCAGATACACCGTCAAATAGTACTACAGCACCAGAAACCAGCATAAACGATCTCTTAGGCTATTGGGCATTGGTAGCTGATGAAATCAGCTTATGCGATAATGCTTTCGAACGTCTACGCGTTTGGCGTGATGAGTTACATTGGTCAATTGAACAATATCCTGTCACTCCTGCCAGATCGCAAATTGTTAAACGACGTGGTCGTCCATCTAAACAAATAAAACGTTTACCAACTCCAAAGAATAATAAATCCAGAAAGTCTCAATCTGCCAGTGATGAGGTTGTGAATACAGATAATGTGAACTCTTCACTTTCAAAGAAGATAGGTTCGACTGTTAAAGCAATTAAGGTATTGATTTTGTTTTCTTTATGTACACTAAATGACTCATCTACGTTGTTGAGCAAAGTTCCGAGTATTCTAATCGGAATTTTCCGTACCATTTAAGAATGATTACTGTGTATTTTTAAGTACCAGGTATTTTAATTGTTTTTTTCAAACTACTATGCGGAATTATGTTAGTAAAAATGCATTACTGAAATGATGTTTTGTAGTTTTACGGACGTATTATTATATCATGTGATAATGTGAAAAACCAGCTAAAAGCTAACCTCACTCTGTGGTAGATACTAGCCTGAAAAGATTATTCATTACACAGAAAGTCAACTTTTAAGTTCCTATGGTCTCTATCTACTTCAGTGAGTCTCAGAATCAGTAGATAATTGTCAACATGAAAACTTGGTCGATTCATAAATGTTAATCGTATACACTGTAGAAACAAGGATTATGATGTAAAATAACATTTCGTCAGGTAAATAAAGATCTATGCCTAAATATGTATCTAAACCTTAACACTAATTTTACAACTGATTTGTAACGCTGCTTTAAGCAAAACTCCATTAGGTATGTTGGTTTCAGGAAAATTCTCATGTTGCATAAAATTATGTATCCAGTCCTTGATTGGTATGTATCACAACCTTCGTTATTTGAATTTCATCCGCAAAAACAATTATCATCTTTCAGTTAACTGATTTACACCGTCACACTATATTTCTTAATGTTAAAATTAAAATAAAAAACGATTAAACCTGGTACGTGTTCTAATCCTATCTGACTGGTATCAATCACTGTATGTTCCAACCTATAAGAAAGGACAGAAGTCCATTTGTGAAAATCACAGAAGAATTGGTGTTCTACGTTGTAGCTGACTAACTGACTGAGTGTTTTAAGCTGTTGCTGAATTTTCGGAATAGTAAACAGTCTCTTCATGTACCTTTGAAGAAAGCGATTAAGTTTTTAAAAGAACCTCTAACAATCTATTCCTCCTGTGCAGTGTGCATCCTACGTAGAGTAATTCAGGTAACCCAAAATGCACACTATTTGAGGCACTGCATATACACAAAGACATTAAAGATTACGTTTACTAGCCTTGACTGTTTTTTATAGAGCTGAAACCTCCACACAAATGAATCTCTGAGTAGTAGCCTTTTTATGTACAACTCTTAGTGCTGACCTAATTCTACCAATCGAATTGTGATGTGCACACTAGTCTAAATAACCAACCCAACGTCGTGACTCAGTAGGTGTTATATTGTTCTGTGTTCGATTTCGGTACTGGTACATAAGCTTTTTATACACATTCTTAACTAGCTACTTGAGTGAAAAGAAAGTTTTTATTGGCTAACCGAGTTAAAATGTTTGCACAATTATTCGCATATGTGTCTATCCCTTAGAAAATTAAGCTACCAAAGGCGTATATCTCGTTCCTTAGAATATACAAGCCATTCCTCGGTCATTTACGCCAACTTATAGTCTGACCGATTTCCGATTGACATATTGCGTCATAGGCTTGATGTCTGATTACCGTAGGTTATCAGCAGAAAGCTTTGAACATAGGTTTCGTGTTTGTTGGTATCCATCAGCAAGGTTTGTTGAAAGTTCTGTTCACTTCATTGTTGTGATGTTTTAAGATAGATATTGTTTTCTGCTTTACCGATAACACTTTATATTTATGCCTTTTTCCATCTCTTTCCACAAAGTATATGATTATAATTTAGGTATAGTATATCATAAATGATACAGAATAATACGTAAACAAATTATGTCATTTGTCCATAGATAACGAGTATTAATACATACCGTACCATGCGAAATAGCGTCTGTCTAAATTCATCTGTAAAATATTTAGCATACTGTAATTTCTATATGAGATTACTAAATACATTAAATAACACAAACAGTACATTCAAAAAAAAATGCTTAGATTCTTTTTAAATCAATATTGATGCTTGTAAACGAGCAAAAAATACATTCGAATCTCGGTAAATCGCATTTGTTTAGCGCATTGTCTGACAAGTATAAATGTGTCCAAATCTCAATGTGATTTTGTTGTTTCATATGTTTTTTTTCATCAATTTTTTTTCTTTTGGAAATTAAAGGATATACAGAAAAATCCTGTCAGGTCTAGATTTGCTGAGTTTATACGAGCTAAGAAAGCAGCAAATGCAAAAGGTATACATAATATTTATATATTTAATTTGCATTCAGTTGTAAAACTTTTGATCCGAATGTTACGTTTCCCAGTAGACGTGTTTTCAGTTGCCTATAATCTCTAAAATGCATAGTAGTATATTCACAAATGTTATTGATTTATTAGGTTTTTGTTGTTAGCTTAGGAGATTGTTCAATTCGTAGTTCCCATTGTGGGTTGACTTCAGTTAAACAACCATTGCAAATCACTGGGTGAGTGTCCGTGATGTAAACTAAAAAAACTAGAAGGTATCCAAAAACTTTATATACTGACAATAGTCATATCCTCCCTAATGAATAGCTTTGAAAGCGAATTCCCAGATTTCTAGTGATAAGCTGTGACCAGTGGAGTTAAGAGAAACAAACAATCAATGATGGTCTCACAGTAGCGCGACTGAAGTTATAAATCTGAACCATTGAATGTCGAATTATTGATATGAAGTTTGATTCTATGCTTTAAGGCCCCTGGGTTCTAATTTAGATCTCTTTGACAAGCTCGTGGATGGATGAAACAGCCGTTTAGTGCTTCCTACTTTCCAATGGTTTTCTAACTAGTCAGTCTGTGATTGTAAACTACATTTTTTAATCAACTGATATTATCGTAGTTACTCATTTTTACTATTTACCTAATATTCTCTTGAAATGTAGACATTATTTTCAGTTTTCAGGTCAAAGTAAATAGCATATTTGTGTGTCGTTTGGAAAATAACATTATCATAGTTTTCGGTTAATTTCAAAAATACATTCTTTGTCCGGGTTATGGTTAACATTTCCTTTATTTTATTCGGTCAGAAAGTATAGTGAGAAATGCAAGATATATCGACACAGACCGTTATTCCATAGTCTCTACCTACCTCTCTTCTAATTGATAAGCTCCACTGAAAGTACTCTGAACTGTCCCAGAACGCTGAGTGCTAAGATATAGTAATCATAGTCGGTGATTTCAGTTCTTGAGTTTGTTGGAAATGCTAAACTGAAAGATATTTAGAGTAGTTTTTCGGAATATCAACTCGAATAGCTGATGGCTTTGACCGTCTGCTGCCGTTTCGCTAAAAAAAACCACTTTTTAACAATTTTAAGTATGATGAGACGCATTATCTGATATGGTGACCCGTCAACATCACAACTACATCTAGAGAAATCACAACAGGAGTGCCTCTTAGAGACCAGCTGGAAATTACAAAGGTCTATTTAACAAAGAACTACCTAAACACAAAACTAGTCATAAAGGTAATGCTCATCTCCAGTCACCTGTAAAGTCACCAGCTATATTCTATCAGTAACTTAAACCTAAAGGGCTAAAAAGTACCAATGGATTTCGGAATCATTGCCCACTCATAGTGGAACAGCAGAATTGGAAATGCTACAGCCAGTGAGCCACTATAACAAATCAGTTGATGAGACAGTAAATTTTATCTACTAAAGTGAATGAAACATATGCTACGTATTCCCAGTTACTGCCTATCCTCAACGCCTTATTTCGTCTGACGTAACAGAAAGGCTAGGATTAAACAGATGAAGACGAGATTTTAGTCCATAATGTTATTGACTAATGATTTGTGCGGCGTCGGCATACTTAAACTTTCAGGTTGGGATTTACAGAATAATTGCTACCTATAGTTTTAGATATTGAGTAACACTGCCCAAAATCCAGCTGCTGCGACGAGCATGCCAACAGTGCCCAGCAGCTAAGTGGCTAATGTAATAGCGTTGAAGTTGACGGTTCTGGGTTCGAGTCCCGGAGTTATCATCAACTTAGATCCAGCTGACGAGTTCTAAATAGGATGAAGGGTGCGTTCTGGATTCGATTGCTGTCATTTAATGATTCACTACAATCTAGAAAAATCCACGGTCATGGTAGATCTCTTATCGGCGCTGGTCTTATTCTTGTTATGTTATCTTTTCCAAGTCAGAATTTACAGTTGACTGACCACAGAATCGTGATGACGAACCTTCAGTCTCGAGGAGACTGCTGATGCTCCCTGGGAAAGGACGGTGGTTCAAACCCATACCACTCGCCTAGTTTTGTCGTATGTGACGTTACCACAAAGTTTCTCGCACAGCTACTGCTGCTTGTAGACTAGTGTCCAACTAGTTCAAAGTATATATGGAGCAGGATTTCCTGTCGACTATCTCTATCTTATTAACCAATCGGAGTCATTGCGATTCATTTTGAAACACCATGATTACCTAAATAACTAACTATCCAGCACTCGTGATAAGTATTGGTGCGTGTTTCGTCACTAAAGTAAAATATCGTAGTCAATTATATATCTCTGGTTAAATCTTGGCTATGCACATATTTTTCTGGTAGTTTAAACTTTTTCAGCATTCATATGTAGAGAAGATTTTCTTTGGTGCATAGGTTATCTGTACTTTTTTCAGGTTTAAATTTTACATTGTCAACAATTTTTTTTGAATATCTATTATAACCGGTAAGGTTCAGTTCCATCATCTAATGATATTCGAAATGGAAAATTCTTTTTCAATCTGACCATCAATTAATTAACTGAACTAGAATAAATCATGTTTATGTAGCATTTATATAAATAAGCTTTTGTTTTAATCCATTGTTCTGTTTACTTTCTGTTTTTCTTCAGCAACACCGACTAAAAATGATCAACATCAAAGTGAAACTATTATCGATACACTCTCTCCTCTTGGCTTACATCCAGTCAATAGGAAATCTATTATTCATAAATAAATAGATCAATCAAAAGCTTAATATCTATTTATTATATTGATCGCATTGTCTAAATAAATACTCTATAGTTTACAATTAGTTATGACTAACTAATTGAAATGTATGTAAACCAAAAATGTATCCCACTGTCTCTATCATCTTCTCTCCTTTTCACAGTTTATTGTTCAACTTATCAAACATTTTCTAATTTTGTCATGGTCAAGTTGTTATTATTATTATTATTACTACTATTGTTTATTGTTTATCCATACTATGTTGTGTTTTTTTTTAAAAAAAATTGATATATCATCTGAACAAAACAAGATCTGTTTAATCTCAGTTATAATAAACGTAGAAAGAATTATACTTTATTCTTTATGGTTGATTATTTATTTACATTATGCTTAAGATCGGTGTACTATGAAAAATGTAGAGAAAAATTACATGACTACTACTCATTCGTAACTATAGAATGTTTCAATCAGAAGAATATCTTAATTTATAGGAAAATATCTTTGCAATGCATCTATCATGAATAAGTTAACAATTTCGATTATTACACAATTATTATTATTGGTAAATGATTATTTTATGAAAATTATAGATTAGCTAGAAACAGATATGTAAACTTAATACTATTGAAATTGTCGTGTGAAATATTCTTGTGGCCAACAAAGAATACTTGAAGAAAGAAATAGTTAGAATTCTAAAGATAATTCAAGAATATGTTGAGAAATGCCTAGACTGTGAGATACATATTTGATCTTTTCAAACAGTCCCACATTCATGTACTGTGAACTCGTTTAATGTCAACGTTTTCAATGGTTTTCTCTTATACCACTAGGAAAATAGGTATGGTAAGTCGAACAGTATTTATAGTAGACAAGATAGAATATTGTTCCCGTTTAGTAAAACAAAATTGTTCTGAAATTGAATAAGAGACTTTATAAAAGAAAACTACCAGTGTATGGTATTTATAAAAATGCTTACACTATCTTTGACATAAGTGATATTGCTCTAGCGCATAATGAGCAAGAATATGACACTCGTATTTATGCTTATGGGATTTCATTATTGTTGCTTCTTTACTGTTTGGTGTAAATAGTTGATTTGTATCGGTGCAACCTATTGAAATGGCTATCAAGTCAGAAAGTAAAGTAGATGCATAGAATTCAGTATCATACATATCAACAAGATACAAGTCATACCGCGTTTCTGAAGAGCTAACCAGAATGGAATGCTAGTTAAAACTTGTTCAGTTTGTTCGTGCAGTTTTCAATAAACAGTTTTAAACTACTCACAAGTAGTTAATAAATAATAACTACAAAATTTTGACCCCAGTTAAAATTCACATGCAATCCGGTTTAGGATAAATGAACTTTACCACACATACATTTCTGTCCGAAGTTTATAGTTTTGCAGTGGTCAAATTTAAAACTCGGAATGTTGTGAGTAGTCCAGATGGTGTAATAAGGCTACTTTTTTGAAGACATATATATATATATTTACACATTTAGAACATAAACTTGTTAAGATATTCATATGAGAAATAAGAACGTCAAGTTTGATAAGTAGGAATAACATCACCGTTCATATCAAATGACTCTTCCTAGTCACTTACGCCCGTTGTCCCTAATGGAGCATAGGCCACCGACCAGTGTTCTCCAACCTATTCTGTCCTGGCCCTTCATTTCTAGCTCTGTCCAATTGTTTTTCTTTTTTTTGCCTGTCTCCAGTTCCGAGTATAACGTGTTCTGTAGTCTTCCTCTTTTCCTTCGACCTTGAGTATTCCAGGTGAGAGCTTCTCTCGTGACACAGATGCTTTCCGCAGTGTGTCCTATCCATTTTCAGCGCTTCCTCCACTGGAATCTAGTTTGTTCTCTCTTAGTGTGGGTTGTTGCTGATGGTATCTGGCCAACGGATCCGAAGTATTTTGCGTAGACAACTGTTAATCAACACTAATATCTTTTGTATGATAGCTTCGGTATTTTTCCAAGTTCCCACCTCATACAGTAGAACTGTCTTGACATTTGTATTGAAAATTTTGACTTTGGTATTTGTTGACAGTTGTTTGGAGTTCCAGATGTTGTTTAATTTTAGAAATACACTACTTGATACGCCGATCCACGCTTTCACATCTGCATCAGATCCACCTTGCTCATCAGTTTTGCTTTCCAAGTATGTAAAGGTGTTTACATCTTCCGAAGCTTCTCCATCAAGTTTGATTTGTTTGACGCATGTTGTGTTGTATCGAATAATCTCGTTTTTCCCTTTGTGTATGTTCACTCCTATGGCTGCTATATTGGTTGTCTTCTTTTGCATTTGTTGTTAGTTTCCAGGTGATTGACTTAATATGAACGCATAATGTAGGTTTGAATTTGCTTTCTACAAATAATTTTATTGTCACGTCTATGCAACACTATGTAGACTGTACGTTGATCAATTCTGCAACGCATTTCAAATAAGTATTTGACGATAGGAGGGAATGAAAGTCTGTCTTCTACTCTTAATAGGTTCCGTTTTTGCAACCATTTATGTATTTGTTAAACCACCGTTAATAGTACTTCATGATTAGTTCTGTCTACGTATGTGCACCGGCACATACATGTGAATTTAAAACCACGATGAAATATGATGCATTTGTTCAAACGCTGTAAAAAATTCTAGATAATAATGGGGTTTTCCTATTCAATAATTTTTTATCTTGATAATGCAAGACAGATTCGAGCTTTTATTTTCACATTAATGTTGATATAAATATCTTGTCAAGATGTTGATAGCGCATTAGTCCTCAACGTTTTACAATCTTTCCATCAGTTTATAAAAATATCAATAGATATTGGTTTAATTGGACAATTTCACTTCATCTAGATGAAGTAAACATATTACGCCGAAAATTGAAGACACACATGAGAAGAATGAACACCAATTAAATAGAACTGCAAAAAAAAGCCCACGACAATGTAGGTTAGAGAATGCTGGTCGGTGGCCTACACTTCACTGGGTGTAACAAGCATAAGTAACTTAACAAGAATGATACATATTTATATGCTGTTCAATATGAAACTAGACCTAAAGAATAATATGACTAGATTATCGAATTTCTTTGTGAATTAATAAAATTTGTTTTATTGATATCTTTGCTATCAGGTAGTTGTTAACTCCTGAATAAATGAATAAGAAGTTATTAGTTAATCGTGACTCTACGTTGTTTCATTTCGAGTTTTGCCAGATCTTCTCTTCTAAAATAAATTAATTCTGAAACAAATAATTTTAATTATACAAGGCTTCATTGTCTAATGTGAACATCAATATTCATCAATGAAGATAAACATCAGAAATAAATAGATTAAATAAATTAAACATCAAAGAACACAAATGTGTTACCATTTGACAATTTGAAAGAATAACTTTTAGTGTATTGCCTTTTTTTCTTTCTATTTATTTCAACTCTTATCAGAGTTAGTGTAAGATCTAAACTGAGGTTTGGATTGAGGAATAACTGTCCAGGTAGGTTAGATAAGCGTCTTGCCCAGTTGAAAACAAAACATGTGATTCGAGTAAATAACGGTTCTAATATACATCATAAATAAAAATAAACATCATTACCTAAGTAAATATCACCACTCACTTATTCCACCAACAACTGTTCAGTTAATCAAATCCACAGCAGATAAATTATATTCTATCCCTCCTGGATAGATCAGATTCGTTCGACAGATAATATTTGGTTGCTATATAACAGTGCTTCCGATTCTGGAAGACTGCTTCAATTTACAATTCCAGTCAAGGCAAGCGACACAATCAAAAGAGGAACAAAATCAATATGGCTGTCGTCATGACTAAGTATCAGCTTAAACAACGTAAATTCAGTTCAGAAGGAAACATAGAAACTCAGTGAAGGCAAAAGAAATAGTAACAATAATAAAATACAAATATTATCATCTCAAGATGGAATCAAACAGATTACCAAAATGTACAACTGAACGAATCAGTAAGGACAAGTTACAAATGTATACATGGATGGATTTTCATAAACAAAGCCTTCAAAAAATGGAGGATCTTACAGTTAGTAAATATTAAATTTTAAACTATGAAATAAATTATTATTTTGTTTAAACAATAAAATATTTTAAACTTGAGTAAATTAACTGTAATATCAATTCGATAAGAAAAAATTGAACTTGATAAATTCAAATCTTATAGTTAATAAATATCATTTCTAGTTCAAGGTTACACACACATTTTAAATAATTGATTATAAGAGAAATGTTAATTTATTCAGTGTACTTTCTATCCTTATTAGATGGTAGTAAGTGGTATATATATAATGAATGACTTTTCATTCTCTGTTACATTCTTCTGCTGACGCCCTCATAAAAGAAATAAGCAAACAAATTCACGTGATTACATATTATTCACAAGGTTTTAGAGAAATTCAATGCATTATATGTGTAAACAACAAAAAACGATATGTGCATACAATTTAGACGCTGCATGAAATATAGATATTTAAACGAAAAATGTATCTCCAATAAGTTTGTTCATATGAAAAATAACACCATTTTCCTAAAATATCCGTTCGTTAAATAGGTTGGTACTGTTGGTTGATTGTTTTCTCATACCACGTTTTTTTTCCAACAGAAATATTGGTAATCTGAAATCGATGTTTACTTTATTTTTTTCAAATTTATTGAACATGTTACTTTTGTTTGTTTGTTTGTTTATATATTGTGATACTAACTAATGATTGGATGATAGATAATATTGTAGACTAAAATGATTCTTCAAAATTACTAGTTCAATAGGTCATTGAATATTGATTATGATTTGTTAAGTCTTGATGGACTTGAATGGTCATTACCTAGTGTTCATACTATAACATCTTACATCATTCATGATTTAAAATTCTTCTCCCATCCTTTCGGTAGTTAATTTGGAGTATCACGCAAGTGTACATCTTCACATTCAGACAGATATAATAATTTTCACTACTATCTGTTAGATTAATTTATGTTGTC